CAGATGGTGTCTTTGGCTGGCTTTTGCTGTGTTCCTCGAAGGTAGCACTAGGTTGCAGAAGTCAATCTTTCTACAACAATTTCTGCTTTCAGGAGTTTTTAGGTTTGTTTTGGTTTACCATTCATACTGCACACTGGCAGGGGACCAATGAACATGAGAGAACTTACCAAACTATTTCCTATGCCCGGAGATGTGATAACAGCTAGAGATGGTCACAAAACAAAGTTCTGGTTCTTCATGGCACTCTGAAGGGCTGGTGTGAGCAAAGAAGACACCAACCTGTATTTAGGGTTTATGGCTATCCCAAAGCTCTTAGGAGAAAGCATTGGGACATTTCTCCAAAGTCACTTCTTTTTGCAGACCTAGGGAAAAAATATCTGAAGAAAAACAGCTGCTACCCCTGCTCAGACTGAGGATGTGACTGTGATACAGGAATATTTGGGCAGATTGTGTGGGGACCTTCTCAGTCTGCATCAGTTGTTGGCTGTGAGGACAGATTGCCTCTGGATTGGGACAGATCAGAGGAATGGTCCTCTCAGCAGAGCACATGTAGGTTCAATTCCAGCAAAAAAGATCATTCACAAGGAAATGGTATCTGATAACATGTGCCTTGGGAGAACTCGCAGCAGTTTCCCATTCTGGGTGCAACTGCTCCAAGGGCTGGGGACAGCTTGACTGCTTGCTGCAAGTCTGCTCCTCAGCCTTCACAAGTAGCCACTGCTTCCTTGTGCCTTCAGCAGCTAAAACCTGATTCTACACAAGCGAAAAAAACCTAAACCTCACAGGAAGGACCATGCTTGGGGCTTTGTAGATGAGGGATTGCCCCACATGAAGGTGATGGTCTCAGACTTGGGCTCAGCTCTTTGCCACCAGTGCCACTGATGCTTCCCAATAAACTCATACTGATCAAAAGTCATTCCTCTGCATCTATTCTGATCCCCTTTGTATCCACTCGCTGTTTATCCTGCATGGGCTAGACCAAAGCACAAATGCCATAGAGCAGCTGGGACCAGTGAAAGCTGGAAGAAAGAGTTGGCTGAGCTGTTTGGGCTGGTTATGTAAGGGGAGTACATGTCATTTGGACCATCCAGAGAAACACTTCCCAGTGGTGAGAAACTCAAGTGAGGATTACATGTTACAGCTATGGATTCCTTCAGCTTTTGAGCTGACTGAATTTACTGGGGAGGAGATGAAGGAGAGATGACAAAACCCAAGAACAATCAAGCAACAAATGCTCCAGGGGAAGCAGCCCTTCAAGCAGCCTATTTAGCACTGGCACCACACAGTAAAGAGAAGCTTGCCAGCATATTTCATTAAAATACCTTTCCATCAGTTAACAATCATTCTCCATACTTTAACAGCATTTCCCCTCCAAGATTTCTAAGGAAACCCATAAATATCATCTCAACCTTGGAAGTGAAGTGTTTTTAGAGTTATTTTATACGTAGGTAAATGGAGAGACAGAGAGTTGTTGCCCCAAAGTATTGTTTTATTTCCCCAGCCCTGCACAACAGCAAGTCTGTATATGTGAAGCCAGATAACCAAGTGGCTGTTTGCATAACGATGGTCTGAGTTAGTGGCCAAGCTAGGAATTCAGTGACTTATTCACTGCTTTTCCCCTTCTAATAAAACTTTCCACAGATGCTGTAGGTGAGAAGTTACATGCCAAATTCCAGGAATAAGTACACTGGAAACAAATGTGCTGTGTGACCTAGTAAAGTGTGTTTACAAGTGGACTACTTCTATTATTGCTGTAACACCAATTTGATGCATAAAGAGATATGAAATTGGATGAGCAGCACCTTGGTTCTCTATTCCTTCTAATGATGCCCTGTGTAGCTCAAAGATAGCTTTTCCACTTGGGTCAGTCAACTTCTGAATAGCAACATGAAATATTTGCTTTTTCCCAAGTGAGAAGAATAGCTGTCTTCCTTGATTTTTGTCTATGGCCCAGCCAAAGAAATTTTCCAGTAACTAGAATTTTCCTAATGGTGAAATAATTACCTGTGTTACCCATGCACCATATTTCATTTAGTCTAAATCACTGAGAACAGACAAAAAGCAGACCTATTAATCTGCTTGAAAATAGGGAAAATTTTGCTGTCTGATCCAAACAGAAATCTCATACTAAATGTTGTTGTTGCTTTTAAAAAGAATATGTCAAGGATTTCTCTGGTACTGCTCGTATGCCACCCTTCATTTTTGTCTATTCTAAGGTCTTATTATCCTATTATAATAGGTTGCTTCATTACAGTGGGCCACGCTCTGCTCTTTTTAAGAAATGTACTTCCCCAAGTGCACATGGAAACAGCTGACAGTAATAAAAACAATAATAATAATGGCGTGTTGTTGAGTGAAAATCTTGATCTAATGCTTAATGGTATGAAGTACATATGGACTTTCCAAAGGCAGCCTTCAAGGCATGCAAAGTTACAGACAGTGCAGGGAAGAGCAGTTCCTCCACAAAAATACTCAAATCACTGAGAAGGACAGGGAGCTGCTGGAGAGAGTCCAGCGAAGGGCAACAAAGATGATTAAGGGAGTGGAGCATCTCCCTTATGAGGAAAGACTGAGGGAGCTGGGTCTCTATAGTTTGGAGAAGAGGAGACTGAGGGGTGACCTTATTGGTGTCTATAAATATATAAAGGGGGAGTGTCACGAGGATGGAGCCAGGCTCTACTCAGTGGCAAACAATGATAGGACAAGGGGTAATGGGTACAAACTGGAACACAAGAGGTTTCACTTAAACTTGAGAAGAAACTTCTTCTCAGTGAGGGTGACGGAACACTGGAACAGGCTGCCCAGGGAGGTTGTGGAGTCTCCTTCCCTGGAGACATTCAAAACCCGCCTGGACACATTCCTGTGTAACGTTATCTAGGTGTTCCTGCTCCCGCAGGGGGACTGGACTAGATGATCTTTTGAGGTCCCTTCCAATCTCTAGCATACTGTGATACTGTGATACTGTGATACTTTGTTCTCATGTACTGCTATCGCAAATAGGTATGAGGCTAGCTGACAGGAGCAGAAATTCCTTTTTATGTGGGAACAGAGATGTATTGGCTGAGGAACAAGAAGAGGCTCATAGAGAAGATGCTCTCCTGCTGCAGGGTTAAACCAGCTGAGGAGCTGGGCAGCATGGTGGCTTGAAAAGGTGCCACTGCCTTAAAGGCTTTTCAGTGCAGGGGTGATGAAGAGTCCAGTAGTTTGGGTTCATATCTGCCACTGACATAAGCTCCCAACACCGTCAGAGAGACCTAGAAAAGCTTGTGCATGCTAAACCCAAAGCGTTTCACATTTATGTTATCTGATGTTGCCATTGCAGTCTCTCTGGAGACACTGATGTCTGTCTTCCACCCTCAGGGACAGATAAGTAAGAAACCACATGTATTTCTGGTAAAGCTGGATGTAATCCTACCAGAGAAAGCTTCTGATGTTTTAATATTTAGCTATTTTTTCTTTTTTATCCTGACTCAAAAAAAACCAAAACAAAACAAAACAAACCCAAAAACCAAAACCAAAACCAAAACAAACCCAAAACAACCCCACTCTCAACAAAGCCACAAATACATAGAGACATTTTCTCTATAAGGAAATTCCTTATAAGGAGCTGCCTCAGTTTGTAAAAGGGAGGCCAGAGTGGATCCCAAGACCACTGGAAGACATTTGATTATCTCAGTAAGCTGCTATAAGGTGCCCAGTCTTTGCCTAATAGCGACATGCCTTGCACAAAGTGGCTCATGCTTTTGGGAGACTGTGAGCCAGGTTTCCAGGAGAAAAAGTTGCTGGTACTCACCCTAAGGAACATATTCTGTGTATGCTTGATATGATGGGGCTGCAGCCTTAATTGACAAGAGGATCCAGAACAGCACAGAGCATCTTATCTGGTCAGGGTCAAGGTGACTGGAGAGGACACAGTCAGTGTCAGAATAATGTCCTGAATGCTCAGTGCTTAGTGATGTGCACAAGTATAATATTTTATCAGTACCAATATCCAATCCATCTTTTAATCTGCAGCTCAACCTGGCTGGCAGCCCATGGCAGGGAGTTCCCCAGCCCAACCGTCCTTTTCACTGCCTGCACTCCTCTTTCTCAACCAGACGAGAAAGGACAGGAGAGGAAATGATAACGTGTTTTCCCTTCTGTCAGAGGAAGCACCACCTTTTAAATTAGCTGTCATTTGGAAAGCAGTCACAGGATTCCCAGCAGAGCGACTCCCCTCCCCAGATCTGCTCCGGCATTACAAGTACAATGAAGGCCACCCGCACATGCGATGCAATGTGATGCACAGATGTTGATAAATTCTCCCATGTGAAAAGATATTAAGTCATTGCAAACAAAACAGCCTCATAAACAGAGCTTCGGAAGCTATGATATATCAAGTTAGTTAGGCGGCAGAGTTGGTAAAAGCCGCTGTCTCAGCTAAGGCAGATTGAGAGTTGAACACATGCTGAGTAGATCAGCATTTTAAACACATACCATTTACTGGCCTTAATGAATACTGAAAGCCCAATAAGCAGAAGCCAGAGCCACTCAGACGTGGCTTCATACAGACGTCAGTGGCATTGTGTTTCATTTTGTTTGCTAACGAGTTATCAGTAGCAGTAATTTGCTGCTGATAATGCTGCAGGTTATAAAAGAGAAAAATAACAAGTTCTGCTAAATGAGGAAACGGGCTCTGCACTCTGCTTCATCCTGGTGCATGAGCTGATGTGAGGCAGGGTTGCAGGCAGCAAAGGCATGGAGGTCCCTGGTTGAGGCAGAGCTGTGGCAGTGCTCACCACAACTGACCACCACTGGGATGTTTGGCCACAGTTCCAGCACAGCTACTCCCTGTCAACAGGGAGGGGATTGATGAGCCAGCTGCTGTAAGCACTGCTCTAAGTACTACTGAAGGGACAGAAAGAAGGGAAAAGGCAAAACAACACGGTCTGGGAATAATAAAGCCACAAGCTGAGTTCATCCTGACACAATGTTAGGTGGGACTCCTTATCCCAGCTTACCTCCTTGTAACCGGACTTTGCAGAAAGCCAAGAGTAGACTTAAGGTGGGGACTCTGGTAATCCTGAGCTCCAGTACTGATCCAACTGCTGCCTTCCCCAGGTCTTGACTGACTTCTCTGAGTTGCACTGTTGTAAATCCTGAACATCATCCTCAGCCATTTGTGGCAATACATAGACATTAACTTAGACACTGACCTGCCCAGCTCACTGTGAGAATTGATTTCAAAATGTTTGTAAAACCTTCACGGAAGAAACCCAAGGCAAATGCAAAATATTGTTGTTTTTACCCATTGTGGTTAACAAATGGTGTTCTTGATGTTAAATAAACAAATGCAGAAGTCAAAATAATCCCAGAGAGTGGCTCGTAGTGAGGAAGGAAAGTGTTAGGAATGTAGAGGTGCCCTTTGCCTGGGCAGGGCAGGAGCGAACAGGTGGGGACAAGGCATGGCCTGGAGGCCAGTGCCTTTCACAGCTCTTTCCTAATAACTGGGCACACGCGCAGTGATTTTCAGCAAATCAGAGAAATCTGAGACTGTTCACCAGTCTCTGAGGTAGATGCTGTAAAAAGCACTGTATTTTGTAGGTCAAATGAAGTTCAGTCATTTGCTAAGCACCTTGAACTCCTGGAAAGAAAGCAGCGTTGATCAGTTCCTGAAGTGCTGGCTTGAGCTGGCACTTGGCTCTGAGCTGGGCAAACCTCGCGCTGCACACAGAGTCAACAGGGTGCTGCCTGAAGAGAAACATGCAGGAACCTCAGCACTGGCTGCTGGAGAAATAAAATACTATCATTACAGTTGCTAGCATTAATGAGGGTCCAACCCTTTCCATCTGTCAGATAAAAGGCAACAAGTAAGTGCGTAGTGTTAATGTTGGGGGTTTTTGCAATGTAACAGATAAGCCATGTGCCCATGAACTGATGTTTCTGTAGGGCACTGTGATGTACAGCAAACACCAGTGTAATGGTCACCTTGGGGGAAATGAGGGATGCTCGGGAGCTACTGGAGAGCTTGGTCACTTGGAGTACCCTGAGCCCCCAAGACTTAGTATTTTATTCAGGTAGATGCAAGCAAACATGCAGAGGACAGTGAGGCTTTTATTTATTCTAGTGTTAGCATGCTCCTTCCCTCTGTGGATTCAGGCTTCATGCACTTCTTGGAAAAGCAGGAAAAGCATAACTGAGTTGTCCTATTTTCCAGTTATTTTTTTGTAGAAGGCAGTAACATAGATCCACCTTTTCATCACTGAAAGTGAATGGGCATCCCTGGCTCTCAGCTGGAAAAGCCTGAGAAAAAAACAGGATCTGAATGTTTTGCAGTTTGCAACCTATGGTCTTCAAGTCCATTACCAGGCTATGACTCGCTGATGATTCCTTGGCACCAGGATGGCTCATGCCTCTTTGAGGACCCAAAGGGAAGATCACTGTGACACACAGAGAAAAAGAAAACACAGTTGCAGATGTCATCTGGGGTAGGGGAGAGCAGGTTGCAGGAGGTTTTGAAGCCTGCCCATGCTGGATGCCAAGCACAGTCCATGGCTCCCTGTCTGGCCAGCCCATGAAGCTCCTTGCCCATTTCCCAGCTTTTGTTCCTTGTTTCCTTCCAGCAGGATGAGCTCTGTCTCAGGACAGTTGATGGGGAGGCTCCTGTGGCTGCTCAGGAGCCAGCAAACTGTGTCCAGATTGTGGCTGAAACACAGGGTGGAAAAAAAAGCAACCTCTTCATGAGAGTCCAGGTTTTACCTTCTGTTGTCTTCTTGTGCAGTTTTTAATTTTAATGTAGGCTAACTAATGTGCTCATGGTTATAGATGTGGATTTATTGTGTAGGTGCCATTAGTAAAGCCCTGACATTATGGACTTCATGGAGGACTAGAGCCAGGCTGCTGCTTCCTGTCTGCACGTCTGCCACCACAGGCAGGTTACAGGATATAGGGAGTTTGGATCATAACCAACAGGCAAGAGACAGCTCCCAAGTACTAATTTAATTGTGAAATCTTTGATTTTTCACTCCCCCCTTTGCTGTTCGTGGAGCTTATGGAAATCAATTAAAAGTATTGTGCAATTAAAAAAAAAATTAACGGTTTCCTTCCTCTGGAATTGAGAGCTCTCTTCTGAGCAGGAGAGAGGGGTTTGTGAGCACGTCTTTCCTTTTTAGGGGGCTAAATAGAGGCTTCTATCCTCTCATGTTTTAATTAATTTTTTTATAGTTGCTTCATCAATTGATATTTATGTATTGCTTGTTGTGCATAAATTCTGGAAACAGCGTATAAGAGGATGTTCTCGTTACAGCTCTACAAGTGCTTGGCCAATACTGGAATATTAATAATTGGAATCACATGGAAAAGTACAGTTTGTTTCCCTTTCTCTGAGGTTTCTGTCCCATATGGTGCCTTCAGGGAATAAACAGTTGCTTCAAGAAAGGCATTTTTTTGTATGTGCTGCAAGAATACTATTGGTAATGCCAAACCAATGGGGATACAGCTGAAGTACAGCCTGTGTAGCACCATTTTGCAGGTTCTATAAACCTAAATATGGACAGAAAACATCTTCCTGTGTGCGTCTTTCCCAGTCCCGCTGCCTGGTGGTCTGGCCTCCATGCAGCTTCCCTCTGGGAAAGCCAAGCAAGGATCCAGGCAAGACATTTCTGAAGGGTAATGTCTGCTCCTGTTTAGTACCCAAGTGCCCACTTGACAGTTGCTCTGTTGCAGAAATGCCTGAGGAAGAGAGGACCACTTTTGTCACTGAAGGTCAGAACCTTATCCCACTGAAATCTGCAGAGACTGTAGCTCAGCCTAGCAGCCTTTCCACCTGCAGTGTCTAATTCAGATTACAAAGAGTAATTTTCCATCTTTAAAAAGAAAAAAAATAAATAAAAAGTTGGGAATTTACATGAGCAGTTGCTCTGGCTCTCTGGGATCATGACTGCAGTTTAGCAAAGCATCCCTCCATCACCCACATGTGTGAGCATCTCCAAATGCTCACACGCGTCCCTCTGCCCAGATGCTAAAGCACAAGCTCCTCAGTGGCCATGTGCTCAGCAAGCCGGTACCTCGGTTCCAGGTGGGACTGCAGCACAGCACCTGCCTGAGGGACCCAAGATCATACTGAAATCACTCAGTGCAGCAAGTGTACCCTGTGGCTGAAAATCAAGGTCTGGTCTGCTTCTTGTTGCTCTCAAGCTGTACCTCATTTGGGATTTCTCTGTGACTCATGGCTAAAAAAATCTCCCCCACAGAGCAATCAGATGATGTCCTCTAAAGGCATTCAATCTGCTCAAGACTGGCAAGTTATGATCTGCCCACGGAGCTGTTGTTATTTGAGATTTTATTAATCATTTACTACATTTTATGAGGTTAGTCACCTGCATCGCCTCTGTGCTGACACAAGAATTTACCACTACAAGGATGAAAAATAAAATAAAAGATCATTTATCAGCAGCTCGCAATGCTCTTACCAGGTTACAAAGGCAGCTGGCAGAGAGAAATTTCTGCTGGGGAATCAAAACAAAACAAAAAGGAATGATGAGGCACAGCCAGAAGGGTATCACTGAAGATCAGTTTTATACTGAAGTGTGTGATAACCAATTATTCAGAGACATTCTGAATTGATAGCTCTGGCATTGAACTATCTCTGCCATGGGTTTGTAAACCTCTCACTGGCTTAGCTCTGGTAACATTTATTTAGAGATATACGAGGGCATCACTGGAGACCACAAAAGGACACTGATATTAGGCACATAATGTAGATACTAGGTAACATAGATTAGATGTATATTAGATATATTAGCACAGAACTAGCTAATGTTCTCCCATAAATGTATGTTACTTCATCAAGGTCAATGGCATCTCTGCCAGCTCTCACCAGCTGTGGATTGGACCCATGAGCTACCACACAGGACTTGGAGAACACCCCACCAGGCAGAGGCAGCCTATGTTGGGAGCATCATGCTCCCTTTCAAGCTGGGAGCAACAAACAAGACTAAGGTATGGAAACACAGCAACCTGTTTCACAGCTTGGTTTCTTGTAGCAGGATGCTCAGAGAAATGCAAGACAATGCCTTTTTCCCGTGTGGGCAGGACATGGACACAGCTGGCCACGGTGGGTAAGCAGGGTACTGTGCCATGCTTACAGGGGAGCAGAGCTGAGCAGGAGCTTCCAGTCCCCTTAAAAGCATTTTTCAAAACAGCTGATAAATTATCAACTATAAATGGCCAGGGTAAATCTGTTGGCAAGGAGCAGCACATCACAGTTAGTGTTGACAACTCTAACTGGTAATTTATAGCCACTGGTAGACCACTGCTGAGGATATTACTCAGTCTTCTAAGTGGGTCTCTTCTACTTACAGGAATAAGAAACAATCCCCCCAATCTCTCCCTGTTCAGAAGGCCATCTCCTCCTGGCTCACCACAGCTTTATTCTCCAGCATCTTCAGGAATTCATGGAGTTGAGACCTACCATAGCTTGCTGTTTCAGGTATTTCCCAGTGAGAGACACTTGCAGCCTCTGGCTCGTAGCTGTCATGGCAATGAAGCACAAGATTTCGTTCTGGCCACGGCTGCTGAGGACTTGGAACAGTGGTTGCCTCTTGATCGAGTGATGGGAGATGTGAAACACTGTGGTTATGCATGGGGTGGACCTCTGCCACACCGGCCAACAAAACATTTCACCTTACTGCTGGGTGTAAGGAGAAGTAACAGTTTATCCTCCAGACCTACTCCAGGGGCTCCTTCTGCAAAGGGGGCCAGAGCATCTTGGCTGCTGCTGGTGAGGGGGATGTCTGTCCTGCCTGCAGGTGGGTGGTATGGCTGGGTGTTGGAGGGACAGAAACGTGCTAAAACCAGACAAACAGCCCTTCCCCCACTTAAAGCACTGCTATGACAAATATGCAAAAGTCACATATTTTGCAAGTGTAGAGCCTTCCTAGCAATAATTAGCTTCTAAACATTCCCCTGTCCTGTATAATAAATGAACAGCATAGTAAATGTTATGAGAATAATTCATTATTCATCATGAATAACAAATGAAGGGAATAATTTACCATCCACTGATCTTTAAAAGGGCCCTGCTTCTTTTTTAATCATGTAGGGATGCCAAGTGTTGAGGAAGAGGTCCATGTTCGGTCACACAGACGCTACGGCTGCAGCTGCTGCTGGGTGGGTGCCTTGGCCTCAGGGCTGGCAAGCTGCTGCTGTTTACTGGTGGTACCATGACATAGCCTCTGCAGATGTCACCTTCTGCATAGATGAGGATGGTGCTGCATCTCTGATATCCTTTCCACCTCCATGCTCTTTCCCGAGCCCATCTGTCTCCATGCACGACTGTCACTCTAGGCCAGTACGTACTCTAGGCCAGTACATTCCTGAAGCCCTGATGTATGCCTCCAGTATGCTGCTGTACTTTGACCATGACAAAGAGCCCTGAGACATCAAAAAAGCAATTAAAGACATGGCCACACAGGTAAAAAAGAAGACTACTTTTTTGCCTCATCAGCTTTGTGGCCGATGCAACG